GCTTTAATCCTGGGAATCACACTGCTTATCTTGACCTTAAGTCAGCTTTTGACATTGCAAACAGAGAAGTTATCTTAGAACAAATAGTAACCTTTGGCATCCTGGGTATATTATTGAGCCGGATTAGAATGTATCTTTCGAACAGAGCTGTAAGTGTCTTGTTCAGGGGAGTGAGAAGTTCCACTTCACAATCTTTTGAACTTGGAACGCCACAGGGAGGAGTTCTCAGCTCTATGATGTTTGATGTCCCCATGCACAAGCCGGTAGCAGATATTCCACTTGGGGATGGTGAATCCATTATATGCTATGCTGATGATATATGTGTCAGAGCATCATCACAAGAGAGGATGCAAATAATTCTCGACAATCCCACAGTAAGGGCTTAATCATCACCGAGAAAACAATAGCTCTCAACCCATGTATCATACCCCTACCCACTTTTCGCATAGGTAACCAGGAGCTTGACATGTGTTATAAGTATAAATAACTCGGAATGAACATAAATAATTGCAGACCTCGTTCTTTCCTTAAAGAAGAGACTTTGGAAGAGATTGAAACCATTGAAAGTTCTTGTCGGAAGAGAACATAGCATCAATGTTAAGCTCGCCAGACTGCTTTACTTTACTTTTATAAAGGTCAGTTGTAGACTACCATGCACTGCACTCGTTGCAGTGTAAGGAATCAGAAATAAATTGCTTGGAGGTGGTGCAAAATGAAGCTTTGAGGCTTATCCTCGGCGCCCAGAGAACAGTAAGGATAGTGAACTTGAGATCAGAATGTAAACCTCACCTATATATAGCTATATAAGATAATATCTTTTCAGAAAGATATTTCATTTTATTATTTTTGTATAAAGTTCTACATATGAATATCTTATTTCACTAAGATTAGGAAACAGTAAAATATAATAGTTAGCCCTATAAAATATACGTTTTCTTTGTTGGTTCCACATGTTTTCTTTGTTTACAGGGTACACTATTATATTTCACTGGTACTTGTTATGTTAAGGTTGTATAATTGATATTTTAATGAAGAAATCATTTTGTATTATTTTGTTACTGGAGAAATTCATTTGAGTTCTGGAGTTATACATGTAAAGATTAAGAAGAACTATGTTTTTAATATATGTGATCTGAGTAGACGTTAAAGTTTACTTACTGGCTGGCACATGACATTTGGGCACCATCCAGACATGTCTCCCTTATTATCATTGAGAATTTAAAGCTCATTCAAAGAGTTTATTGTATTTTGTTTTATCGTTCCTAAAGTAGACAATTTGATTTTTTTTTTCTTTTTTTTAAGGAATGGGTTTTGTTGATTTTTGTCCTTCGTGCTGTGGACAAGAATGAAAGAAGATATCATCTTTAGGAGTCCTTTGAACTGATGAAGGAAAGATAAGAAGATATCTGAGAAAATTGATATGTAGAGACGAAAGACCAAAGAAGAACAAGTGAAAAGAGTGACAGGTTGGACTACACACACTTGGAGAAAGTTGGACATAGTATAGATGAATGCTTGTTTTTGTTGTTGTTGTTGTGTGGTAATGTAATGATTTATGATTCATTATATCAGGAAATGTAAGCTCATTAATTGTTTCGATATTACCCTTCTCTCAATTACCTCTAAGGCTGAAGTTAGATCATCAGAAAACTATGTGACTATTATTTTTTAAAATGTGGGTTCCAAAGGTATAACTTAGAAAATCTTTTGAGGAATCCACACTCGGTGCAAAATATAGTGCCCCTCTGAACAAAGTCGGAGTGGCTCCCAGAGTTCAGGGAGCCACAGCAGGTGGCGATGAGGAAATTGTGAGTTGCATTAAGCGTAGTATAAATTATGCAATAGAGCGCAATTTCAATATTCAATTTGTATCTCGTGTTAGCATACGCAAGCACGACCACGAATTGGCGAAAAAAGCCTGCAGCAAAGATACTGTGAACATAGCTCTTAAGATGCCTCTTATATATATATTGAAAAGTTCTCATGAGGAAGAACTAGTAGCAAGCCTTCCTATGGGTGGCACGAAGTCAGACCAGACAATGTGACGTGGTTATTGCCAGAATACGTTTAGGTTACAGAATGTATTGGCAACTGCATGGTGCAAGAAGTGCAGACGAATCTAAATGTAGACTGTGTAACGAAGAAAACAAACGAACGCTTAAACTTTATATCTCGGAATGCCATGTGATGCAGCCTTTCAGACCACCTAACATGAGGTATAAAGAACTATGTGAATATTTAATTTCATCTGATACATTGGAAGATATGCTCGTACTATATCCCAAATTTACTCTGTAAAACTGCCGTAAACAAATAACAGTTTATGTAAACACATATCAACGTAATGTTTTTGTATCATGTATGATTTATATTTATATTTTACCATATATAGTTACAGTACAGTAATGTACAATGTCAAATATATGTAAAACTATAATTACGATTGTCCACGCTTGAGCAGATAGCCAGGGTGGTAAATAAACTTAACGGTGACTCTCAAAGTGCTCTTCGGACACTAAATTCTTTCGAAGCAAGTGGTGGTGAGGAAATCGTAAGTTGCATTAAGCGTAACATAACTTATGCCTTAGAGCGCAATTATATATTGAAAAGTTTTAAATAAGGAAGAACTAGTAGATCAGACGAACACTCAAAAGCCTGAAAACTGTACCATAAGGCACTACGATCAGATTAGCTAGCAAGGCTTCCTATGGGTGGCACCGAAGATAACCCAGACGATGTGACATGGTTATTGGCAGAATACGTTTAGGTTACAGAATGTATTGGCAACTGTACGGTAGAATACTTAGCTTAACTTAACGGTGACTCTCAAAGTGCTCTTCGGACACTAAATTCTTTCGAAGCAAGTGGTGGTGAGGAAATCGTAAGTTGCATTAAGCGTAACATAACTTATGCTTTAGAGCGCAATTATATATTGAAAAGATTTAATAAGGAAGAACTAGTAGATCTGACGAACACTCAAAAGCCTGAAAACTACCATAAGGCACTACGATCAGATTAGATAGAAAGGCTTCCTATGGGTGGCACCGAAGATAACCCAGACAATGTGACATGGTTATTGGCAGAATACGTTTAGGTTACAGAATGTATTGGCAACTGTACGGTGCAAGGAGTGCAGATGAATATAGATGCAGAATGTGTAACGAAGAAAACAAGCGAACGCTTGAGCACTATATCTCGGAATGCCATGTGATGCACCCATTCAGACTACTTAATATAAGGTATAAGGAACTATGTGTGTAAAACAAGGGATGTGAAGATAGAATGATCCAAAAACTACCCTTTGCATACTTCACTTCTTTATGCATATGTTACTACTTACGTATACCTCAGCTTTAGTCTTTGGCTATGTAAGATGAAAGTACTTACTTATTTTTCCAGTAAGATGGTACTTAATTTTATTATTTTCGTATAAAGTTCTATATGTTTCTATTTTATTTTTCTAAGATTAGGAAACTAAAATATAATAGTTTAGGCTACGAAGTATACGTGTTTGTTTTGTTTTTGTTATCCCCACCATACATGTTCTTTATTTAAAAAGGACACTGTTATATTTCCCTGGTACTGTTATGACTATTCCATTTCATCTGATGCAGTGGAAGATGTACTCGCACTTTATCCTAGATTTACTAAGTAAAACTGTCGTAAACAAAGAACAGTGTTATGTAAACACAGTGGCAAAAGGATATCAACGTAATTTTTTTGGTATGATGTATGATTTATATTTTGATTTTACCATGTACAGTTACAGAATACTGTGCAATGTCAAATATATGTAAAACTGTAATCACGATTGCCCATGCCTGAGCAGATAGCCAAGATGGCAAATAAGCTTACTTAACTTAACTTTAACGAGGTTAGCTTGGCGACTGGAGTGAGGTAATTTTACGGCACTTAATTTCTGATGTAGATTATGCTGTTTTCGCCTTATTTAAATTTTCACACCATAAAGGACTGTGTATGATATGCAAAGAGGGCTTGATAGTCCTTCTAAAGTACATTTTCGCATTGCACATCATTTAAAAGTAAAGGACCGTTTTGGTTATACAAAGATAGTGGATTACACTTACACAATATATTTGATTTTAATCTTATGACATTATATTCATGACAAGCTTCTTCATTTGCTAGAAAACTCGCTGCTGAAAGCGTCCAAAGCCTTTTATTCACCAGTGACTAAAATCATTCGGATGCTGCAATAAATTTAAACATGTGCTCTGCTGCTGGGTGCATTGTCAAGTTTTCTTCTTATGATGACACTAAAACTATGAAATAAAATACCTTGAAATTATTCAAAACTCTGGAACATTAAATTGAAAGACTTCAAATAAGATAATGCGTGATGGACAATAGCATGGATACACTTAGCACTTTGGTTCCCTTACACTTCTTTTAAGGATAAGGATAAGCCAGATATGCGAAGCTGTTTTCTTATAACAGAATTGCGCATTCTAGCTTGGAGCTCCCTTTCACAAAGAAGAGAATTTACAATTATTGCCAGCATCGTGTAAATGGCTTACCTCTTGCGTCTTTATTAGCTTGAAATTCAGTCATGGAGCGCGATAAGTTGGCGACAAAAGAAACAAACTTTTGCCGTTAAAAACAGCGCCGTGTAAACCGGCCTTTACACCGAAGACGTCATGTTCTCTATTCAACTCGTATTAAGAGAAGCTTCATTTCAATCTATATGATAGATCATTTGACATAAAATAAATAGGCTTTGGATAGACAAACATGGTGATTATACATTATTGCTAATTTAAATCTAACGAATTTGAGCTTATTAACAAGCTCGGTTTCCCTCGGAGCAGTTTTTCATACATGTAAAATGAAAAGTAAACTTAGGTTCTCTTTTCATAATTATAAAGTAATCGCTTTCATTACGTTATACCAAATAAAGTTGTTTTTTCAGTTTGTAGCCGTCTATTTAAAGGGAAGCCTTACATTATTGTTGTTTCCCTTATAATTCCCGTTCTCTGTGTAATCCCACTGAACACCCTGAACGTGCCGTATAAAAAAAAAACAGTGCCTCATTGGTAACGCTGCCCCTTGCTACCAAAACAAACAGTGTTAAAACGAAACTAATAGAAATAATATAAAGAAAAGAAAGAAGAAAGAAGAAAGAAAATAGATCCAGGGGATATAGACTAGACTATAGTCTAAAACCCTATAAAAGAAGAAAGAAGAAGAAGAAGAACAGTGGCGGAGAGGCAGGGGCAGGCGTCGCTCCTCAAAACCCGTTGATATGACTCTATTACCTCCCTTACCCGTATTAGTTTTATTACTTACATTGATTGATGTGCTTAGTGGTTATGTATATGATAACGAGTTCAAGGAGGAGTTGCTGGTGAGGCCTCTGCCGTCGGGACACGTCTACTCCCACTTCGAGTTCACGACCACTTGGGCGACGCCGGGAATCCAGGAGTCGGTGGCGCAGTATACGGACTTTGGTAAAGATGTTTGCTTTTGTATTAAGCAATTTCTGTAAACGGTTGGCCATTATGAGCGGCTTAACTTTTAGTAGTTGACTTGGCTTCCACGCTTACAACGCAAAGCCAATTTGGAAATGTTTACAAGGCACCAGAAAGAACCCTATGATGTGACTATCCTATCTGTATTGGCTAGGTTATGTTCTATCCAGGTCCGCATGAAACTATGGATGTATTATGGAAGGCATACTAGTTCCACTCCCACTTCATAACAGTATTTGAGAGATCAGTGTGGCTGATCAATATGTAGAAGAGGGTATGTAAGGGGTTAGGTTAGGGACTCTCTACATTGATGACATGAAGTATTAATATATAATATCCACGAGGCGCCCCCACGCCAAGCCAACGCAACTGGTGGATGTTGTATAGGGTAATGGGTTACTTTCGAAACAATTTTAATACTTTTCTACATGAAATCCACTGCTTTCAATGATTCTGGGCATTGTTCCTTGTGAAAATGAATCGTAGAGGAGATATGATCACCATCTCTATTGACAATCTTGATTTGATAGTCTCGATAGCAGGGGAGGGCATAAAGTATATCAGGGAAATTATGGGGTAAAACATCCAACCTAACCTAACACCTGGGTAAATATTCCCTAGCCAGGGGTCTCTACCCCCTGGACCCCCATGGTAGTGTATGCGCCTATCCCCGTGTTAGTATAGGCGTCTAGAATTCACCCTTGGAATGTAAACAAGATGAGCGACTTAGCCAAAATTTTCTTTTCTTTTCTTTTATGTATAGCACCCTTGGGAAGCATTTGCACACATATTGCCATAAAAGAACTTTGTCTTGGTTTGTATTGTTCTATCATTTCATGTAGGTTATATTACCCAACTCTGCCACTACCTTATACTACATATTGTCTGTGTGGCCTCCTCTCAAGACCTATGTATGTTGGCAAAAGCCAAGAAAAATACAGCCCATATATTCTCCTCTCAGTGATTCTTTATAATAGGGATGCAGAGACTAAGTCACCAACTTCACATCACAAAATTATTTAAACAATTGAAGTTGCCATGGCTGGGTGTTCCTGAGGGTAGGGTTGATGGGGGCACATCCCATGGGAGATATGGCCTTTACCTCAATGCATATGATAAGATAGAGCTGAAACTCTGGAGCACCAAGCGGATTTAAGCAGTGAGGGGTGCTCTCAGCAATCTTTTTCCTTTATTTGTGGCATTACCTTCATGTCTACCGATTATTTCTTGTGTTAACCTTTGACAGTTTGTCTAAAGAGGGCTTGAAGCTTTTATAATTATTTACAAATGGAATAATCTTCAAAGAAATTAACCCAAAGCTGACGTGCATAGCATGTTTGTAGATGCCTTGTCCACTGTGAGTTGCTTTATTAATTGTTTTTATACATAGATGGCTATACTTATACTAAGTCACTACTGAGCCAATTATGAGTACTGCCTATCTCACCTGTTTACCATTTTCCTTGATTTTCGAAAATATTTTATGTTATCCTATATTATTACAAATGTTAGTAACATTATAGTAATTATAACATCAATAAAAAAGGTAACACCATTGATATTCATAGCATTTGTTATAAAAAAAAAAAAAAAAAAAAAAAAAAAACCACAAATTCAAGGAAAGGGGAAATCAGGTAAGGTCACAAGGTCTACTAATTGACTCCTTTGTGGCTAAGCACTAGCACACCCATCCATGTGCAGAGATATTTCACAAAAAAAAAAAACAAAAAAAAGGAGCACAGCATTTTCCTGGCGACATTGAGTTAAAGACAGCCTTTATGCATTAAGAAAAGACAGTCCTTGTGGACATGAATAGAAAATATCAGTAATATATAGGAAGTGACTAAGTTAATGTTTGACAATAAATTGGAAGGGTCTTCTGAGATTCTATCATATTTGATGCAGAATTATCTTCAGATTAGTGTAAAATTGCATTATGGTTTTAGAGACAGTCATGATGCACATGGGACAACTGTCTTTAACAAAAATTGTCTGTCTAAGACATGGAAAGTCATAAACAATTTTGCTGAGTCAAAGACATGAAGATAATCACATATCTGTAATGACAAATAGACTTGGAGGCCCATTCTGATTTATTAGCTTCCATTTCCAACAGCCTAAAGTTCCCTATAGATGGGTAAAACCTGTTGCAAATTCTCTTTATGACACATAATTTGATGCCAAACATTTGGCTCCACTCTATTCCTGGGAATCTATATATAGATTACACTATATATAGTGTATTTTTTATTTTAATTATTTTTTCTACACAGTTACACACTACTTTGGGTTAACAGTTAACACACAAAATTGCAGCTACTATAAAATGCAAGCTTAGGTTATCTTTTAAGTGCCATTATAGCTATGATTTGTATGAAAATGAGAAAATTGTGACATCTAGTAAGCAACCCCTAAAACAGTTCTTTGGGACTTTTGAATTTGAAGATACCACCATTACTGCTCTTTAAAAATTATATTTACAATTATTTATATTATATGGTAGGACTCTTCTGTTCTGTATTAAAATTTACATGTTTTATGAATATGTTCATGCTTTTTCATTCATTTTTCTCACATAACAGATTGAATATGACTCCACAATGAAAGCGTTGCCCCACCCCCTCAATTCTTGTCATAAAAAAATATGTTGTGACAGCAGAAATAAGGGTTTTTTGTCAAACATTAATTGATTATTTTTCTAAATATTTACAGCAATTTTCTATTTGAAAATACAGATGGCAACACACAGCTTCACCTCTGATGCATTAAAAACAAACCTTTGAATATCCAAATTTTAGATGAATATATAGAATATATATATTGTCTTTATAGAAGTAAACTCTAAAAATGTTTATGATTTGCCCCATTGCCACATTTCAAAGTTAATGCTGGTAATAGAGCATATTTATATCATGATAAACCTTGTTTTGTTTTAATAAAATGGAAAGGCAAATATGGTAGTAAATATTGTTTATATCATAAAGGTAATATTATACATTAAGTATATCTAAATGTGATGTAACATCCCTACACATATTGCCATTGCATCAGTTGTAAAGGTGGGTGCGGCTATTTATATTATTATAATGAAATACATCAATAAAAATGCAGGAGAAGGCTCATTTTATATTTGATAATTCATCAGTAGAGGCCTTAAAGCTTTCCTTATTACTTCCCAAGCAGAATAATCTTCAATAGAGGAAAGTTTACATAAGGACAAATTAAAGACAATCTTTATTCATTAGGTCAAAATTAAAGCCAGAGAAAGTTGTATTTTATGTTGACAGAAAATTGATCACTTTTATTTCTCACTCACAGAATTTGAGCACTATGATCTCTTTCCTCGAGCGCTTGGGGAAATCGTAGAGCGTTACCATGTGAGAGAACTTCACCTTAGCCTAACTCAGGGATTTTGGCGCCATCGAAAATGGGGATATCCTGTCATAGATGCCCCACCAGGTGCCCAGTTGTGGGTGTGGTTCAACCCATCAGATGAAGAGTAAGTTCAGGAAGAGTTAAACCATAAGCTTTCAAGATTTTTTCTTTCTTTCTTTCTTTCTCTTTCTCTTTTTCTTTTTTTTCTTCTTCTTCTTTCTTTCTTTCTTTCTTTCTTTCTTTCTTTTTTTTTCTTTTTCTTTTTCTTTTTCTTTTTCTTTTTCTTTTTCTTTTTCTTTTCTTTTCTTTTCTTTCTTTCTTTCTTTCTTCTTTTACTCATTAGGTCCAGATGCTTAACTGCCATAACTTGGCCCAAAATATGGGCATTAGGCTTATTTAAGAGGTGACTCTAACAGGATTGAGAGGATTACTGTGACAAGGCTCTATGCCTCTCCTTTGCAATGTTATTTTCTCTTTTTCTGCACAAGCTTTTATAGGATGTGCAGTAATATAGTCATTTCATTTGCTTTATCCAGATGGTATTTGATTACTTTCCTGTACTTCCCTTCGTTGTTCTACTTGCAATTTGTTCTATACAGTACATTCCACTCTCATATTGATTGAAATAATGCAAAAGCCCCTTCCTTAATGCCATATGAGTCTAATCACCCTCCAAGAGCTTTGTGCACTCTTGGGGAGACATTCCCATTAGTCTAGCCTTCAGCCAAAATTTTCACAATGGCAAGTTTGCGTCATCCCGACGCACAGCCAGATTTTCATATAATCTCATGATCACACCAAATTTTTTCATGGCATGATGGTCACATCATCTGGATTGTTAGGGATACTGGGTAGGTAATAATATATATATTATATATATTTTTTAATGAGTAAATTGTCATCTTTTCTGCATTATTTAAAATTCATAAGATTCAAGATATTCAACTTTTTATTACTGAATAATCAGTGAAATGTGATTACATACTGGTCTAGAGAACCAGTGACTTAAAAGAAAACTTTGTAGATATAATCACTCTTTAAAATGTTTGTAAGGTGTATTACAATTATAAACATGAAGAATGAGGTGCACATGTTACTGTAATGAGAGGTTATGAAGTCATTATAGATGTATTTTAACATTTTTTGTTAAGATAATGACTAATTACATTTCTTTGTTTTGCAGTTTGGATCAGACTTGGCGAGATTTGGTGAATGCCCTCAGCGGTCTTGTGTGTGCTTCTCTAAATTTCATTGATTCTACTAATACAGTTTCTCCAGAACTCAGTTATCGACCATTAGGACTTGCTGAAAATTGGTAAGAAAATATATCTTTTGACTGATAGAGGTAACTTTAAGTTTAATCTTTCAGTTCTTTTGCAGTTTGAAGCTGCTTTCAGAAATATGATGAGAATAAGAGTAATTACCTGGTCAAGTCATCTGCATTTTGAGTAATACCCCTGTAAGTTCTTGTATTTGATAAAATAATTCTAGAATTTACTCTCTCACTTGTTCCACTCTCTCTTTCTCTTTTCATCCTTGGTGATATAAATGATGATGTAAACAAGCCCAATTCAGAGTTAATTAAGATAATTAGGAAAAAGAAATTTGTGCAAATGGTTAGTAAACAACATAAGACATCATTAATTGATGTAATAATAGCAAATAGAAGCAATTAATGACAGTATAAATGCCATCACTCCCTCTGGTACAAAAACTGTTAGATGTCCTCCAACCCCATAGATAAATGACGACATCAAGAGAGTCATAACAGATAGAAAGAACATTTATAAATCTCTAAAAAATAACAGCACTCCAGTGCTCATATAACAACTACCAGTGCATGTGGCGAAGTGCTTGAAAAACCCAAGGTTTTTTGGAAGGGAAATTGTTTGTGCCTCATTGTGTTCGATGTCCCAAGGGAAATCAGCTCCGTCAACTCAAATACCAATAACAGCTTCAGCTGCAGCACCAACCCTAGCATTATATGTTGCATCAGTTTCTGCACCAGCTGCAGCACTAACCCTCGCAATATCTGCTGCACCAGCTTCAGCATCAGTTGCAGCCCCAGCTGCAGCTCAGCCCTCACTGCAGCTAGACAAACAAGAGTCCAATGGAGAAATAAAAAATCTATTACAAATGCTACTTCAGCAGATGGAGCAGATGATGCTCATGATGCAGCAACAAATGGTTTAACAATCTCAACTTCAGGAAAGGATGTTCACATTCCTCCACAATCAATAACAGAATCACTCTGTAGAGGGCCTCTGAAATGGTCAGGTAATCAATGTCAGCAAGTAATCTCTTAACCCATTGCCGCCGGGGAAAATAAAAAAAAAATGGGGAAAATGCTGTACTCATTTTTCATATTTTTGTGAAATATCTCTGTACATAGATGGCTCTGCTAGTCCTGATTTCACCCTTCCTTGAATTGGCGGGAAAAAACGTATTCTTACTAGTGCTATAAATATAGATGGTGTTATTTTTAACAGCAAATTAGGATAACGATAAATATTTTTGTAAATCGATCAAATAAGTCGACTCACAGCGGGTATGGCATGTACGTACATGCCATCCCTGGCGGCAGTGGGTTAAAATATATTACCTGGAACATAAACAGTTTACAGAAATGCAAGGCAACTCACTCCCAGTACCTTCACTCTGAAAATGTTGATTAACCCGACCCTGATGGGTCATGTGTACCTGCGTCATAAAAAAAACGTTTGGTCTGTTTGGTATGCCTGTACGTGTGGCGATGTGCCAGAGCACATGAAGGGAGATGTTCAGTGTCAGGCCGTTGCCAGAAATCACCTGAGTTTATCTCGCTCAGGGATTTCTGTTCACCTGGGGGTGATGGGTTAATGCATATAATCCACATGATAGTGAGGTGGTGCCTAAACCTCCTGACTGCATGATAGATACTGATACTTATTATGCGGGAATTTTAATGCTCCTAGGCATCCGAGGGAAGTACCATTGGCGAAAATGGTAAGGGTTATTATGACTTATCTCCAAAATACTGGTGATTCCATACATCTATTATACCCCGTAGAAAAACTCATTATCTGGGCAGAAAATTGGACTATATAGATCTATACAATCAGCATACACTACCAAACACTGCAAAAGTGATCACTGGGCATTAAGCATAACCCTTCCTTTTTGCAAAAGAACCCCACCCCAGCCATGCCTTCAATACCACCTTGCTACTAAATATCTTGATGAATTAATTGAAAGAATTGCCTGCTGGTATGAAGACGACTACTACCAGCCTGTATCACTTCAATGAAACTCTCTGTCAACAAGTTGGTAATATCATTACTCAACTACAACCTAAAAGCCCTACCAAGCACAGATCTTTATCCTCCAGCTTGTCCAGCAGTAGACATGCACAACAACTGAACAAAGTCCCTGTGATAAAGGCTCATACAATCTACAGTAAGTCAGCTGCGACACTTGGGGAAGAACCCGTGCTTAGCTAGGGATCTTGTGATAAAAACTCGGAAACTTGTGGAAAGATTTTATGCCTGGCCAGAATCAGTTGACTCCATGATACCCATGTGTAATGTATGGAAGGAAATCAGCAAGATTAAAGCCAATAAATGCAATGTATCACCTCACCCACATCCAGAAAGGGTAGCCTTAATAAATTGTGTAAGGACTCTTCTCTTGATAGTCTCTCATTGTCCATATATAGGTTCTTCCTTAACCCGTTTCTGCCGGGCCACGCCTTGTGGTGTCATAACAAACTGCTTGGTCTGCAGAGTACAGCTGAACGTCACAGCGATACACCAAAGCACTTTGAGCCAGGCATTCGGCTTGATGTAGTGAACTTCTGAGCTCTCATTGCCATTAATCTCCGGAATGTAGAATTTTTATTTATTTTCTTCACCTGCCAGAAATTAGTTAAATTAAGCCATATAAATAAAATTGACTATCAGTGCCAGCTCTTAGAGGAGGCTGATGCACTATTTACAAGGGAAGAACTCTTTGCAGCCATTAAGACTAGTAAATCTACTGCACCTAGGGATGATGGAATCACTTACAACATCATCTGACTTCGTGCAAAAGTACAGGTAAAGGGAAAAAATCCTCTTCTTGATCTCTTCAACTTCAGCTACATAGCAGGCATCTTGCCTACCACTTGGAAACAAGCAACCATCATTCCTATCCCAAAACCAGGAAGACCTGATGAATATAGACCAATTTCTCAGGCACCCTGCCTGTCTAAAACTTTTGAAAGAATCCTCCTTACTTGTTTACTCCACCAGATTAAATATCTGATCCATCCATCTGTCTTTGGCTTTCAAAAAGGGAGAGAAACAAATGTGTCTAGCACAGTACCTAAATGAAAGTAATGCAGTCTTCTTACTTCATAGATTTTAAGGGAGCATTCAACAGAGCCTCCCTTACTGCAATCCTCCATGAAATAATACTTTAAGGAGTTAAGGGCAAGCTACTGCTATGGATAAGGGATTTTCTATCTTTGAGAAGATGAAATGTGGTACCAAAGCATCTACAGTGCTTATAGTGAATTAAAATTAGGAGTGTTGTCTCCTACACTGTTTAATATACTTATGTACTCTCTTTGTAAGGTCAAGAATGAGTTAGAAAACCTATGCAGCATCACATCCTATGCTGATGACATTCTTATTCAGGTATTTGATAGGGGGGATTATGTTCTATAGAGATTCAGCAAAAAAGTGTGTTTCCCTTGGTCTTATAATTAACCCAGTCAAAACTAAGGATATTTCCAGAATCTGTAAACTACCTTACATTCCAAGGTTAGGTGGACAAACTATTGCAAGAACTGACTCTTTTGAATATCGTGGTGTTATGATGACTGCTCCCCACCTCATGTCCCACAACTCTCAATATACCAAGGAATATTGCCTTGAGCATTTAAGACCATTGCAATGCATAAGTAACAGATATGTAGGTTTCTCCCTGAGAGTCCTAAGGTTGATGTAGATCTCCCTTGTTAGGTCCATGATAGACTTACAATTCTTAGTATGTTGCAACCAAGTGCGCTCAGACCCCTTGAAGTTTTACAGAATAAGGCTATGAGAATTATATTTGGATGCCCAATTCATTCACAGTCATGTCACCCAAGTTAACACCATACTTGGCACCAGACTCCTGCAGCTTTTATCCAGACCATGAATCTCCAATTTTCTATCAAATGACATAAATTATAGAGTTAGGCATGCCTGGCCTTGATACCCCAATCTCATACAGACCAAGTTATTAACATTCCAGAAACAGTATTTACTGTTTGTTGGCACAGAATTTACGTACATGCTTATATTGATAAACTAATAGGGCCTAAATCCATGGCTTCCAAAATGGAACTTAAAGCTCATTTCTTGAAATATATAGACGGCATTCTGCATCCCCCTCATTGTACTCCCCCACTTGCAATCTACTGTGTTATCTCCATTGATCCTCATGGAGCAGCAGGGATTGGTGTACTAATTCCTGATATAGGTCTTGAAGAAAGTGGGTGTATTTCCACCTGGACAAGTACAACTGATGCAAAGCCAGTAGCCATATATCATGCCATTAACCTGATACTACCGGGCCACACCTAACAGTGTCATAACAAACTGCTTGGTCTGCAGAGTACAGCAACACACCAGAGTGCTTGGAGCAGAATGTTCAGCTTGTGAACTCCCACACCCAAAGTCGGCTCATTGCCATTAATCTCCAAAGTGTAGAATTTTTATTTTTATTTTCTTCACCTGGCAGTATTGGGTTAAGAAAGGTAGTGAGCAGCAGTGACACCTGACTCTCTTTACTGACAGCCAAGGTGCTCTCCATAGGCTTACTGCATTTAATCCAGAAAACATGGTAACTAGAAATATCCTTCACCAAATTTCTAAACTATCAGAACGGGGTATTCAAGTGTCACTGTAGTGCAGTGGTTCCCAACCTTTTTTTACTCCTGCACCCCTAAAAAAAAATATATATTCTCTGACCTCGCACCCCCTACATTTTATACTTTGTTCAAGGATAAAAGTGGTGGAATAATACTGAATTTTATCAAAAGACGATATTTATTTCACCTTTAATATTTGTAAAAAAAAAAATCAGACTTTTAAGCAAAAACATCACAGATTGATATTTGAATAAACTTTACGAAAATAATAACTCTTGTTTGAAATAGATGTAAAATAGTAAAATCAAGAACTAGCTTCGAAGTGCGTAGAAAGGAGTTTAATTTTTTAATATGTAAAAAAATCAAACATATGGACTAGAAAGGATATCCCAGATTAACATTTGAATATACCTGACAAAAACTGACTTCCAAAAAGTTTGCTTATGCATTTCAATTCAATGACACATTTGTTCCTTTTTCATGCTTATGAGTCTTTCAAAATGTGGAACTATGTTGCTGATAGCAACACGCATGTCTGCCTGTGCATTCAAGCAATTTCTGGGTTTTGTCTTAATTGACAAAAGAGTGCTTTTGACTCACATAACCATGTTGTCGCAAATGGAATGAGCACCGCTAGTGCAGTTTCACAAAGCCCTTGAAATGAAACCATAGCTGAGCACCAATACTCTTCCAAAGTTTTACTCTCAAATTGTATTTCAAGAGCACGGTTTGAACGCAGTTCTATAAGATCTTATTTCAACACAAGTCCACAATCAGACCGAAGACAATACTGCTGGCTCACATCCAATCTTGGACTTTTTATACAGACAGATCATATGATGAAATGAACAGATTAGATTCTGATTTCCTTGATCCCATGTTAATCCTTAGCAGGTAAGCATCCGGGCAGCAGGACATAAACCTCTTCATGCTAAAGACAGGAACTGGAGATACCATGGTTTTGCTTTACCAAAGAAATGAAAGAAGTGCTTTTTTCTATAATCCACTGCATAAGGAAACAAAAAGACTGCAGGAGAGTATTAAATATCATATCCTTAAAAGTGCTGAAATTTCCTTAAACTAAGGAAATTTCTTAAAAGTTACAAGCCTGCTTCTCGTTTCCCCTGGAATGATGTCTCGCACCCCCAGGGGGTGCGAGCACCCCTGGTTGGGAAACCCAGCTGTAGTGGATTACCTCTCATATAGGAAAGTAATTATGTGACAGGGTTGGTCAGTTAGCCAGATTAGCACTTTCCCATGGAGATCTATGTGTAGTACCGTTATCTCTCAATCAAATAAAAAAATGTGTTATTAGCTGTCTTCGAGATTATGAGGGTCAGGTATGGACCACAGAAAAGATGAAAAAAAAAAAGATGGACATAGTATTATCTGGCATTATGAGAGTATTGCTGGGTCATCAAATATAGGCAAACACCTTATAAAGTCTCATGGACTGTCTTGGCGACAGCAGGTTACATTGACTAGGCTACACATAGGATATCAATACTCTATGCAATATGTACAGGATGCAGTTTGGGAGGCAAAATCAGTTTCATATCTCCACTGCAAACTGTGCAAGGTGCGTAAGTTACATAATCTTACGCATTGCTTAATCTGTTGCATAAAAACTGCATCCTATTGATCAGATAGTACTGCTCACAGATTAGCACTTGTTTAATAACTTTATAATAGACACTGGGCTTGTCTTTGACATGATTAGTGATATAAAATGCTTTTTTCCTGCCAGATGATATTTTATTACAGTGATAATAGCACAGCCCTTCAGGCATGTATATAACACTAATATTTGACTGATAGCCCTCTATACAAATTGAAGTACAGCCAGTTTGGAGAAATGTTTTGGTACCTTACCCTGGCTTTTTGCAGGGCATGTAAACTATTCTGTAAATAGATATTATCAAATTAAATCTCTTTCTTTCTTTCTTTCATTCATTCTATCTTTCTAGAGTTTAATTTTTCATGTAATAATATGAGATATGGTCAGCCAGCAAAAAACGTGCTTGTTGTTATACATATTTTTTAGGTCATCAGTTTCTGTTTGATAATTGCTACAAAATGAGGAAGTAATGTTTTTGATTCAATGTTGGAATGTTCAACTTTCTCAATAAGGTGCTAATGCCTGAAAAAGCATTATAATTTTATGTTCCAAATTTTTATAATTTTTGTTCAACCGAGTGTAATAAAATCTTTGTTTACCTGTTGAATCCAGGTGCCTTGCAGCTTGTAAGTGGACCAAAGTCCAGACATTAGGTTTATTTGAGTGGTGACTCTCCTGGATGTGTGGGTTATAGACCCAGTTCACGTTAACACCCATGTGCAGAATCAAGACTCGTGGCCTCTGTGCAAAGCTGTTAGCTCATATTCTGCATAGCATATTTTTTGTTGTTTTGCCATTTTGAAATGTCTAAACTTGTTTGATATTCTGGAATACATTCTTGCACATGTCCTCCCTTGAGTCACCACTCTTCCAGGCTTGATCCAAAGATGGTACATTCCACCCGCATTTACCAGTGGAAATAATGCAGGAACTCCTTTCTAAAGACCCACTGAGTCTAATCATCTGCCAGGAGTGAGATTCACCCATCATCTTTCACTCGGCAACAAAATCACATGACAACACATTCCCATCACTCACCCCTTAGCCAGCTTGTTTCATGAAAAGGTGTCTTTATCACCCAGATGAAAATATGAACACTACATAAAACCAGTCAGTTGCTTAGCAGCAGGAGAGAAAATATGG